GACCAGCAGCGCCTCATCTTCGCCGGCAAGCAGCTCGAGGACGGCCGCACGCTCTCGGACTACAACATCCAGAAGGAGTCGACCCTCCACCTCGTGCTCCGTCTGCGTGGTGGTATCATTGAGCCCTCGCTCAAGGTGCTCGCCGGCAAGTACAACTGCGACAAGCAGATTTGCCGCAAGTGTTACGCCCGTCTCCCTCCTCGTGCTACCAACTGCCGTAAGCGCAAGTGCGGTCACTCGTCGCAGCTCCGACCCAAGAAGAAGTTGAAGTAAATGTGCGGTTCTATACGCCATTTGTCTTCGTCTGCAACGTCACGCCTCCATCACACCACACCACACCACCACACACATACGCACATTCATACGACTCTCGGCTCATCATGGTGTTTCAAGAGGCATCGTGCGGCCTGGGCCGTAGTTATGCACCATCCATGCTTTGCTGTCAGCGCAGGGCGACCTGCGTCTGCGGTTTAGCTTCGTCTTTACTGCACGTCCGATAAAGACGTGCAGTTGTTCCACCACACACACACACACTCTTCACATGCGTGTCTAGCGCTCGTCTCGGCCGCCGTATTGCGGTTCTGGGGCGGGTTGTTGGGGACGAGTGTTTCCAAAAAAATGCATCTCGCCTTCTCCTGATTCGGCGTTGTGTGATTGTGATTCAAGTCAAAGGGGGATGGAGTGGAGTGTACGCCAGTCCTCTGGTTTGCCCGTGCAATCGACGATGTCGAGTGAGGCGAAATGGACGTTGTTGTGTCCTTGGAATGCGATGCCGTGGTCGGTGTGGTTGAAGACGCCGCGCTCGTGCATGTCGTCGATCTGCGACTGGGCCTGAGTGGCGGTGAGTGGGGCATAGATGAGCGAGATGTGTGGAAAGTAGTCGGGCCTTTGCTGCGCGCTGGGTGGTGCGGGGAAGGCGCTATCCACTGCATCTTTGGCTGCGGTGTACAGCTCGAGCAGTGCCGAATCGCGGATGAGGGACACCACGATACACTGTCCCAACATCGGTGTATCAGTCTTTGCTATACTTTGGGGGGAGGGGGTTGGGTGGGTTGGGGACTTACCTGAAAGTACGATCCTCTGGTCTCGACGTTCTTCAGGCCTACTTGTAGCTGGGTGTGATTGGTGTGCCAGTGCGCCACTACTTTCTGCGCAACTTGAAGGAGGGCAATGGGGTCGATGGATCGATCGCCTAGTCCAGCAAGCAGTGTAGCATGCAGACCAAACTCGCCCGAACAGTCGGGGTTCGCCGCGCGCAACTGTGCGATCTCTGACTGCAGAGCGCGGTTCAACGCATCACTGCGCGGCACAAGCCACAGTGCAAAGCCTGAAAACACATCCACCATCACCCAAAACCAGATCTTAGCGAGGTGCGGGAAGTGATGCCGACAGCAAAGTCCAACTTACCCATCGTGCAAGGTCGACGTGGACAGTGCAACACCACACCCAGATGGCAGATCACACGCACTCGCCCACGCCTCCACAACTTCGTCCCACGTCCGTCTCCGCAACATGTGCCACCACTGCAAATCTCACATCTTGTCGTCTGTGCTACCCTACCTTCTCAGCCTCTCTCTCACTCTCGCACTCTTCCACTCTCGCACGCAGCACACAAGTCAAGGTAGACACGGTGAAATTTCAATCAACGAGCAAAGCAAGGGCAGGATTGCACCGACGCTCACTTCATGATCTTGCCGTCGGCAAAGGCCTTGCCGTCGACCACAGCCTCCCAGGCCATCATGTCCTCGAAGAACTTCTTGTCCTCGGGCTTGGAGATGTCGAGGGGCGTGATGGCGTACGAGTCGGCGTCGGGAGCCACCTCGAGGACCGACTTGGGGTCCTTGCCGCGGCAAATCAGGACACCGGTGATGAGGTTGTTGTTGTTCTCGCCAAACACACCGAGGGTGCCCATGGTGTACTTGCGCGAGGCCTCGAGACGCGCAAAGAAGCCGCCGATGAGGTTGTTGGACTGGAAGACCGCCTGGAGCTCGTCGTTGTACTTGTAGTCGAGCTTGACGATCGAGTATCCCTCGGCGTCAAAGTGCTCAAAGAACCAGGGCAGCGCCTTCTCGCGCGTGTCCTCGTTCGAGTAGGTGCGCTTCCACTCGTCCAGGTTGAACGACGACTTGGGCAGGTCGTCCAGAGGGTTCTTGGGCTTGGGCGCCGGCTTGGGCTCGTCGTCCTCATCGTCCTTGGGCGCGGGCGCAGCCTTGGGCTTCTCGGCCTTGGGAGCGGCGGCAGCCTTGGGCTTCTCCTCCTTCTTGGGCGCAACAAACTTGATGTTGTCCTCGGTGAACTTGAACTCCTTGTAGATGGGGAGCACCTGGGGCTGGTTGGTGATGGTGTTGAAGTAGCGCACCGAGTTGGGGTACTTGGAGCGGAAGTTGACGCCGCCGAGGCGGGCGAAGACCATGCCGATCGAGGCGGCGAGGTGGAGGTCGGCGAGGGTGACGCGGTGGCCGACGATGAAGGTCTTCTTCTTGAGCTCGGCCTCGACGTAGGCGAAGGCACGGTCGAGGTTGGCCCAGATACGCTGCTCAGCGGCCTTGTTGTAGGGGATGATGTTGAGGCAGAGGAGCATGAGCTGGACGCCGTTGTTCAGGATCTCGTCCTCGGCGAACGAGACCCACTGGTTGACAAGGGCGGCCGACTTGGCGTCGGTGCCGAGCAGCTTGGAGTTGTCCGAAAGGCCGGCGACTGCGAGCGAGTGGAAAAAAGCAAAGAGTCAGTTTCTGTGCACACGCTGTGCCAACGGAATGGACGCGCGTGGCTCTGCGCTGTCTGCTCTGTCTTTGTCGTCGTCGAATTGTGTGCGGCGCATTGCAGTGCAACGCGGTGCAACGTGGTGCAGAGTCAGGGCATTATGCTGAAGAAGTATCCTCGACATGGAAGATTCGGACAGGGATAACTGTAAAAGATAATCTCATCATATGAAAGCGTGTAGCTGGGGCGGGCCAGCCAGCGGCAGGGAACGGCTGGAGGTGCACGGCGAGCGACAAATCCAGGCATGATGCGTAGAGCCAGGGCGGTCATAAAGACATAGATACGTACTGTAGCGGGAGATGGCCTTGGACTCGGTGAGGGTGAAGCCGTCGGTGCCCTTGAAGGCGGGGATCTTGCCGTAGGGGAAGAGAGCAAGGTACTCGGGCTTCTTGGTGTCGCCCCTCATGGCCTGGGTGTCGACAACCTCGAGCTCGAGACCGTTGTAGGCGGCGGCGGCGAGAGCCTATGTACACAAGTTGGACGTGTCAGTTGAGCGAACCAGCCGAGAGGCGACGATGGCGAAAGCATGGCGAGAAACATACCGCGTTGGTCTTGGGGTGGCCGACGTAGCCGTAGATCTGACCGATGGGAGCCATTTTGGTATATGAGTGTGAATGACGGATACGGAAGGGTATGGTGAAGAGAGAAGGGGAGAGGGTGCTGGGCGCAGTGGCAATTGACCGTTTCGGACGCTCGTTGGCCCCAGCTGGAACTCCGGGTGGCCGAGGCGAAAAAGTCTCTTCTTCTTCCAGCTTCCACTCTTCTGCCAGGCTTCCCAAAAAATTTCTTTGCACCCGCGTGTCACTTACGCCCGCTCATTATTATTTGCCCAATTTGACTGGGACGGTGCCCTGCGGCCAACAACACACACTTGTGCCACGGCACACCAACTGCAACTTGAGCTGGCTTCTTCCCGCTCCCGTTCCCCGGTCGGTCCCCGCTGATTTCAAGCATGTTCGATACATCGTCCTAACACTTTTACAACATTTTCGCGGGCTTCGTGCATCGTTGAGTGACTCGCTGCTCACATTTGGCGTGCATTGGCGCTCCTATGGCACTTCTACTTCTGACAGCACAAGAATGAACTTGAACGTGGCATGCGCCAATGTATTCGTGTTGCACGACTCGCAGCGCTGCACAGCTACTTGACAGCCAGCCACGGGTCGATGCGGGTGAGCGTGATGCTGACAACGACACTTTTACGAGCTCGACACTCAGAGCTCCTCGTGGTGGGGAGCCTCCTTGGCGGGGGCGGCATCCTCGGTGCCGGTGGCGTTGATGGGGTCGAGGTCGATCGAGACCTTGTGCTTGCCGTTGAGCGCGATAAAGTCGGCAAAGCCCTCGAGCGAGCGGTCGCCGGTGAACTCGATCCAGTCCTTGCTGCCGGCGGCCTGGAACTTGATGGTGGGGAACGACTGCACCTGGAAGCCGGCCGAGGGCGGGATGTCGTTGGCGGTGGCGTCCATCTTGGCGATGAGCACCTTGTCCTTGTGCGCCTTGTACTTTTCGCCCAGCTGGTCGTAGGTGGGCGCGAGCTTCTTGCAGTGGCCGCACCAGGGAGCGTAGAACTCGACGAGCTTGTCCTTGGAGTCGTCGCCGATGACGGCGTCAAACTCGTCGGCGACGAGCACGTGCACGGGGCCGTCCTGGTCCTTGGGCACGGGCTCCGACTTGACCGAGGGCTTGAGGCTGCCCGACGCGTACTGGTCGACAAAGTCGGACACCTTGGCCACGAGGTCGCCCGAGAGGTCCTCGAGCGGGTACTTGAGGTTCTGCTCAATGTCCTGCACCGCAAACGCCGGCCAGGACTCGCCCTGGATGTTGAGCGACTTGGCGTGCGCAGAGTACTTGACGGCGTCGATCCAGACAAAGTTGAGCTTGCCCTTGTTGGCCTTGGCGAGCGGCTTGAGCGACTCGACCTGCGCCTGGAGGTCCTTGGCCTCGGGGTCGGCAAAGAGGTAGGCGAGCGGCAGACCGGCCTCGGCGTAGTTCATAAAGTTCTCGGCGCTGAGCTCGTCGATGAGCGGGATGGACTGCGCCTTGAGGAAGTTGTGGATCTGCTCCTCCGAGAGCGTCTTGGCGTCGAGCTTCACCTCGGGCTCGTCAAACTGGCGGTAGACGACAAAGGCGGGCGCCGAGACACCGGCCTCCTTGGCGACGGCGGCGTCGTTGACCACGCCAAACAGGTAGTTGTCGCGCAGGTTGTTGGCTACGGCCGTGACGGCGGCGAGGTTCTTGTCGTCCGAGGCGTCGAGGAAGGCGACGGCGACGACGCGGTCCTTGGCCTTGAACTCCGCAAAGCTGTCGGCGGAGACGGTGGAGAGTGCGGGGAGCGCCTGCTTCTTCATGTACGAGACGATGCCGTCAGCCTTGCGGTTGCCGTTGTAGTCCGAGGCGCTGCCGGAGCGGAAGACCTTAAGGGTGGGGAAGCCCTCGACGCCGTGCTGGGCGCACAGCTCATTCTCCTCGGTGCAGTCGACCTTGGCGAGCTTGATGCCGTCGGCGACGAGCTCGGTGGACGCCTTTTCGTACTCGGGAGCGAGCGCCTTGCAGTGACCGCACCAGGGGGCGAAGAACTCGACGAGCATCAGGGGCTGGTGGCACAAAAAGGGCAAACAAGCATCGTCAGCAACTGTTCCACGCCGGAGTTTGTGTGCGCATCACGGGAGACCTACCTCTGGCGAGACAATGGAAGTGAAGTTGTCCTTTCCGAGATCGAGGACGTCGGACGACGACGAGGCGTCGGCGGCCATGAAGGTGGCGGCGGTGGCCAGACCGGCCGCGATGGCGGAGCGAGAGAAACGCATCGTGAGCTAGACCGTGTAGACGACGAACGACCCAAGACGAAAGCAAGGGTTCAACGACGGAGAAGGGGGGGAAGATGATGGTTAGAGGGAGAAGGAGGATGCTGCCCACTCCCTACATATCCGTCAGCATGCGGAGCCCACCCACACACCCTTCTCGGGAGCGGCGACCCCGTGCGCCTGGCCTGCTCAACTAGCGTTGGCTGCTGCTGCTTGGCGCGGGTGTCTGGCTGTCGCTGAGGGCCTGGCACGAGAGCGAGCCGGCGCCTACGTGGCACCCTTTTTTGGGCAGCCAAGAAGAATGGCCCTGCTGGTGCCTCGCCGCGCCACCGCAGTCGCGCGCCTCCTCGTTGCGGCGAACTTGGGTCGGATCCAAATTAAAGCCGCGAGTGGGCTCGTGCTCAGGCGTCGTGCTCAGCCTCGAGCTCAGCCTCGCGCTCAGCCTCGAGTGGCGCCGCGCACATGCCTTCCAGCTCATCGGGTCGCGTCTGCCTCGCCGCCCGAGACACGCAGCCCACAGCAGCTGTCATTTCTCAGAGACCAACACTTTCGCCACATAACTCCGGCGGCCACACCAGCATCTGCCTGCTGTGTTTTTGGAATGCACTCTGCACCGCACGAGCCGCACCCTGCCATCCGCCATCTGACAGGCCCGTCCTCTGACATGACAGCAGCCTTCGATTGACGATCGTCGAAGCTAAATAACAGACAGAGACCGTGTTGCTGTGTGGGCCCTAGGCTGCCACACTGCGCGCAACATGGCCGATCAGCTCGTCGAGCATGTACGTCGTCCACGGCGCTTGACCCGCTCCCCCAAATGCTCGGTCTGCCACCATGCGAGCGCCTGCCTCAGCTCGTGCCGTCGCCTGAGCTTCGTCGCCTGAATCTGCCGCGTTCCGCAGGCTCGTCATGAACACGCGCATGCTGCCGCACAACGCTCGCACCTCCTCCGCCTCAGGCACCTCGCTCGCCAACAGCGTGAGCCAAAAGCCGTCAGCGTCCTGGCTCGGCCCGTCTTGGTGCTGCGATGAAGACAAGTGCTCCACGATGGCCTGTCTGAGTGATGCCTCCTGTTCAAACAGCGTCTGTGCATGCTGCTGCGCCCGGCGCCGCAAGCTGGCAACCAGGCCCGGCTGCACCAGCGCCATCGACTCGTGAGACCCGTCATCTCGACCGTCGCCAAAGATACGACGCTGATGGTGACGGTAGAGCTCGTCGGCCAGTCGCAGGTCCCGGTAGTGTTTGCGCCAGGTCGGTGTGTCTGCCTGCTCGACTCGTCGCAGCTGCATCAGCGTCGTGTACAGCGGCAAAACAAACATCTTGTCCTGGCTCAGGCAATCCATCACCACCGATCGCATCAACGATGCCGTTGACACGACCTGCCTGCCCTCTTCCCTATTGTCATGCGAGGACAGTTGCGACACGCTGCGCACAAGCTCCTCGTGTCTTCCAACCGGAGCAAAGCCTCGCAGAGCCTCGCGCAGCTCCGACGCCGTCGTCCCAGTCAGCTCGAGCGCATCCGTAGATACGTCCATCGCACTCGTCTCTGCTGGTGCCGACGCCAAGCTCCTGCTGCCGTGCGGATCCGCCAGATAATCCAGATGCGCCATCTTGCGCTTCACGTACAGGATCTGTGAGGTCGACAACGACGGTGCGCCAGCCACAGCCGCAGATCCCGGTGCTGCGTTGGTTGCCCTCGCCTTGCTCTCGATGCTCGTAGGCCAGTACCGAGTCGTGGCAGTCTGAATGGACCCGGCCAGACGTGCATTCGGCAGCAGCAGCGGTGTGAACGCGCCATCCTGCGTCGATACGCCCTCGACACCCGACATCTTGACCGGCAGGCTCACCAGCTGATTCGTGTCCATGTCCGTAGCGATGAGCAGCCTCGGCTCGATTGCGAGGTACCAAAGATGCCGGAAGGCCTGCAGGTGCGCACGATTGTCGCTGCTCGTGCGCGGGAACGGCGGCAGGAACGATATCAACAGCGCAGCCACGCCAAGGTCGGACGTTCCCAGCGTGTATCGACCACCGCCCAGGAAGAGCAAGCCCAGGGCCATGTGCGTCGCCATGTGGCTGCCGTAGCAAGTATCGCCCTCCACCTCGCCGTGAGCGCGGCGCAGGTGGCGCAGCACCGTCACATCGCCGCTGCCCGCAAGCACCATTCCCAGCGAGATGCGCACCTGGTCCAGCGCAGCACGCACCGCCGACTTTCGGATCCTGCCGAAAAACGACACCGTCGACGCACGAGTCTGTCGCTCCAGCTTGTCCACCTCTTCCCACAGGCAGTCGCGCGCCTTTGAGTCTTTGGATCCCGCAAACTTGAGCCCGATCGCGAAGCACGCGCCCGCTTGCATGTTGATCTGGGCCAGCTGCGCCGCTTCCGAAAGCGATTTGCCCGTCGCGATGCGCTCCTGCATCCATGCAGGCAGGACACCCTGGATCCATGCCTTTGTGGCATCGATCCCATCCCACAAGATGAGCGAGCGCGACAACACGTGGCTGAACAGCACGTCCGGCCGAAGCTCATCCAGCTCAGCCGTCGACTGTGGGGGTGCCATGACGTCTGCCACTGCGCGATTTCCGGAACGGAGGTAGACGAGGCCGAGTGCAAGCGCGGCTGGACCCGACGTGAGATTAAGCTCTGGCACCGCGCAAGAGCCAGCTTCTTGTCGAGAGGGTTCGGTGAGCGAAAGACCAGCCGCCGAGTCCTTTCCGCCTCGCACGAGCTGGACGAGGCGCGAAACGATGCGCTTATCCGGCAAGCTCTTCACCCCGTCACCTCGACCTTTGCCGAGGTAGACCAGGCCGAGACTCAGTCCGGCCGACATCGAGTACGCCTCGCGGTGCTGCGGTTGGATGTTGGCGATCGGCGATTCCTGCGCACCGATCTGGTCCAGCATGCGCTTGGCTGTCCATCGATGGTTGCTGCCCAGGAAGACAAGACCCATGGCAAGCAGACCGGCCGTCTGTGTGATGATGGACAGGTTCAGAGGCGCAGAGCCTGCCGGCAGGAACGCCGTGAGCTGCATGCCGATCAGATGCCGCGCGGTAGGGTCCGCTGTGCCAAGCGTGGAGACGGCCATGCCAAGCAGGAATCCGATGGTCAAGAGGTTGTTGCGCATCTTGAGGTACCGGAAGACGTGCACCGGCGTCAGGGACGGCAGCTGCTTCATCAGGCCCAATCCATACAGGAAGCCAGCGTGGCGCGCGGTCACCTGCTCGCCGAGGTGAGCAAAGATCCACTTGGAGTCGACCTTGACATCAGCAGTCACGTTGAGCTCCAGCACCGACGCCACCCCGTTGTGGAACTCGGGCCAATCGAGCCCGGACATGTCCATCTTGGCATCCGGCTCGATCGTCATGCCACGCGGCCGCACCTTGACAGCAAGACAGATGGAAGGGATGCGCCACCAATGTGTGGGCAAGAACGGCCGCGAAGTCATGAACAACATCGCCCTGCCGGGTGACAACGCTTTGGTGCGCTCGCCAACCGCCGCGACCGCTGCAGAGTGCTGCTCGTTGATCGATGCCTCAGTCTGGTTCTCGTTCTCGGTCACGTAGACCGAGTTGACTGATTCGGTTGACAGCAACGCAACCACGTCGCGCAATCGGAAGTCTCTGCTGAAGAGCTGCGCGCAGATGGCGTCGAGCGGAGCGCCCTCCGGCAGCGTTCGGATGAGCTGTGCGGGGATGCGTCGCACGCTAGTGTCTCCCAGCGCGCTTTGCTGAGGGACAGCATTCAGCACAATGTCGGCCCGCTGGATCGTTTCGTAGAACTCGGGGCTCTTGCCGCTTGGGGGATGAAGCTGGCAGCAGCGGATCGCCTGGTAGAGAGGCAAGGCGAGCCCAAATGGCAGTCTCCTCAGCCTCTCGAGATCGAGCTGGTGCGCAAGCATGGCCTCGACAACGTCAGCCGAGACATCTGCAGCTGTCCTGCGTCCTTGACTGAATGCTGTGTACGTCGCGAAAAGGGCGTGGAGCAGCGGAAACGTCTCTGCTGTCTCGCGATCAGTCGCGTTGATCTTCGAGCTCGTGGAGACCCACTGCGAGAGCGAGGAGGTGCGAGTGGACTTGCCGGACAGCATGTCGAGAACAATTGTGTACGGATCTGTGGGCGGAACTGATTTTGTAGCCTCACCGACGGGAGGCCTCGAGCCGTAGACCGTGACGACGTCTTGAAGCGCGAACCGTCGGCAGAGCGCCTCGATCCAGGCGGAAGCGCCAAGCTCGGCTGCCAAAGTGGCGGCGAGACCAGCGATCCGTATCGACCCGTCCGAATGTCGGGAGGTATCAAGCCGTGTCTCTTCTGCGAGAAGGTAGAGCACCAGCATAGCTTGCTGTATCTCCGGTGGTTCGAGGCCGAGCGAAGCAGCACCGTTCGACGGAGCACTCGGCGCTTGATCGACTTTCGCAGGCATCGGAGCGAGAGACGACAGAAGCGGATCATCGGCGAAGATGCGGTGTGCTGTCGAATTGATGGCGTCTGTCTGCGAAGATGCTCGAAAGCAGCTGAGCATTGCTGACCAATCCTCTTCTGCAGCCGCGAGACTGGGCCTCTGTGTCGGCTCTGTGACGGAGAGGAAGCGTGAAAGGATCCACTTGCCAGCGAGTTTGGCGGCGAGGTGCTCCGGAAGCGTCCGGAAGAACGTGGCAAGGATTCGAGCCGTGATGACACATCGTGGGCGCAGATCAAGGCCGGCGCACATTTGTTGCTGGTTCCCACTGGACGTCAGCAGCAAAGTACGAGCCCGAGGCGTCGTGGTCGCAGAAGACAGCGAGGCGACCGGGCCAGGTATTTGCTCCATAGCCTTGGCGAGAGGTCCAAAGGACGTGAGGTCCAGCGGAGACCGCGCCGGGGACGGCGGCCCAAAGTGCAATTCGACGATACCGGTGCGGCTGATCGTGAGCACTTGGATTGATTCGGAGGAGATCGATTGGATGGGCAGCAAGGCAGAACAAGGGATCGCTGAAGAGGCCTGCAGCTTGGTCGGTGCTTTGCAAAAGGGCAGATTGCGGGCACGATCCGGTGGTCCGAGTTGTTGAAAGCCAAGTCTGCGGCAGAATGTCTGGTTGGTAGCAGGCACCGATACGAACACGTAGGCAGCGTCGGAGTCGAGGCGATCGAGCATGGCGGTGTGCACGTGAATCTCGGCAGGATGCCGATGGGAAGCCAGACCGGACACCTTGATCTCGTCGAGTAGGCAGACGCTCGCGAAACCGCGAGCAAAGCTGTCGATGTCAGCGATCCTTGCCAGATCGACGTCGTCGTCGTCATTAAGCGCAGCATCGGCATCGGCTGCATCTGCGCGCATGGCATGCTCCGCAACGCCTGTTGCGAACGTGGAGGTCATTCGACCAGTGTCCAAGCTCGAGTCCAAGCGAGACAGGTTCATAGAAGGTCTCGCTTTGATGGCGGCCGACGAAGTGCGATTTGAGGTGCGAGGTCCATTGTAAGGAGTGCGAGCGGCTGTTTGAGAGCTGCGGCGGATGCGGGCCGCCGACGCCTGGGTGCCCGGGATACGCATGCTGGTACCGGCATTGCCGAGTTCCTCGAGCATGGCTTCGTGCTGATAGGTCTGCGATTGAAGACGGAGGCCATCTGCGGTATGCGAGATGTTGCCGAGGGTACGATCGCGCGCCTGGGTGGTGGCATCGTCTTTACGGCCGTTGGAGCGGCGATCTGCAACGCCAGGCTGCATGGCACTGATGCGGCGACTGCGGCCACTTGGATCTCTTCCCATACCTGCTGCTGAAGTGAGACCACTTGTGCGTCTCTCGAGATCGATGCGCGCGCTGCGTCTGAGGGTGGAAGGAAAGCCTCTACCGAGTGATTTGGTCGCCGGTGTGTCCGACACTGTGCGCGAGGGTTTGAAAAGGGGCTGTTGCATGCCATCTTGGTCCGATGGGGCGTGCATCTGCGCGCTCGCCGCGTTGGGCCTGCCGTTGGACAGGGCGGGTGCCGGAGCGAGGGACGAAGGGAGGCGTGGAGCCGAAAGCAGGGTGGCGGTGGCATCGAAAGCAGTGTGGCGAGCCGCGAAGGCGTAGATGCGAATGACCGAGTCGTGTTGAGCGGTTGTCACGATGAACGGCGGAAAGCGCGCATCGTCGAGGGAGGAGACGAACGCGATGTTCTCGTCGAGTTCGCCGAAGGGCGATGCAGGCCCGTGGGACACGGGATGCGGGTCATCCGGAGGTGTGAGGCCGAAGGAAAGCTGTGGGAAGCGATCGACAGGGACGAGATCGTCGTGGCATCTCGAGAGGTAGAAGACCATGGGAAGGAGGCGGGCCGCATCCGTACGCAGCTGGGAGGCCGATGCGTGGTCTGAGTCGTCGAGCATCTGAGAGAAGCTGTAGCTGGATTCGGACGATGAGCTGATGTCAGGGAAGGGATATCCGACGCTGGAAGTTATTTCAGGCTGTGCGGAAAGGCTTGGCCGATGGAGGAGAGAGGCGATGCGTTCGTCCTCGGATTCAATCTGGCGCTGGATCAGGAAGCCCAAAGGAGCCGGGAACGCCTTGGAAAAGCGGAATGGCAGTTCCATGTCGAGTTGCTCGCCAAGACCTGGGAAGTGAATGTGTAGCGCCTGCTCGAAGAAGACGCAGAGCGCCTTTGCCGGTGGACCGGTGTTTCGGTGGGCGTTCAGTTTTCCTGGAGCGGCCTCGATGTTGTCCGGCGAGCTCACGTGGAAGAGGGTCCAGAATGCCTGGAGGATGGGGCTGGAGAATGTGAGCGTGCGCACGAGCGTGCCACCTCTCGTCCAAGTGAGGAGATTGTCCTTCCAGTGGAGCTCGTCGTGGGCACCGCCGCTGCCCTCCTCTCCAGCATCTCGTTTGCTGGACGATCGTGGTGAAAGATGGTGCGTAGATGGAGTAAAGGAGCCCTCGGTGGTGGGAGATGAGCGTGATCGTATCTTTTGGAGGCGAGCGAGGAGATGTGACGTCTCGCCGACCAGCGCCGGGTCCCAATCGTCCGAGGCTGGTCGAGAGCACGCCTGGACATGCTGGCTGATGCGTTGGGCTGTCGACATTGTCGTCATGGGCATGATGGAATGGCGACGACGTGCGCCCATGTAAGCTTGCGGCTCAGCATTCCATCTCGAGGCTGAGCGCGGGCTCTGTAGTGAGGAGATGGTCGACGTTGTGAGGCGAGATAATGCCTTTCGACACGTTCAGAAGGTTGGCTTGCTCTCACCTTTGAATGTGTCACTTCGGCTGCACGCCGAGGCCAAGCAGCCAGCAGCGACGCGACCCTGAGCTTTCGTCACGTCTCGCCTCCACCTGCCTCCTACTAGCTCTAACATCGCTCGATTAAATAAATGCACGAATGCCTCACCAAAGCCGTCGTCGACCCGTAGGACCGGCGCTAGGTCTCCGCAGCTGCAGAGAGAGGGTCTGCAGCCTTGAGTTTTCCGGCCGCTGCGGAAAGTCACACACACGCAGCGTCGGCAGCTGCCCGAAAGCTCCACGGCTGGTCTGCGCCACTCGGCTTCCTCCACCTTCCCTTTGCGCCCACACCTTTGACGCTCGACTGGCACCTGCTGCCTGCCAACTTGCCATCAGCGCTACCTTACCAGTCACATCCAGCACGAGGCAGCACCTTCGGAACCAAGCCTACAACGCTCAAGCTCGTCGCCAGTCTGCCCGGTTAGGTTGACACCTCTTCCTATCGGCTGCCCCTCGACCGTTGCCACCTCCGCGAGCATCGCCTGCTCTCTGCCCGAAGTGATCCTCTCGCAAGCAGATCGACGTGCGTCCCACTCTACATCCGTCGCTGTGCAATCTTTGTGCCTCTCATTCGGATCCGTTTGGCCTCTGCCGGTCAGCCCTTCCGCGCTTCACCAAGATGACTTCGTCTCCATCTGGCAACACGCTGCTGCTCAAGCGTCAGCTCACCGAGCTGCGCAAGCGACCCGTGGACGGCTTCAGCGCCGGTCTCAAGGACGAAAGCAACCTTTTCGAATGGGAGATCATGATCATCGGACCCAACGACACGCTATACGAAGGCGGCTTCCTCCGCGCCGAGTTGATATTCCCACCAGAGTACCCGCTTTTGCCGCCCAAGATGAAGTTCATCACGCCCATGTGGCATCCCAACATCTACGCCGACGGCACCGTTTGCATCTCCATCCTCCACGCTCCTGGCAAGGACGAGTACGGCTACGAAGACGCCAGCGAGCGTTGGCTTCCCGTGCATACGGTCGAGTCGATCGTAAGTTTGCCCATCCTGGCATGGCTTGCCACAACATCGAGCTCCGTTTATTGACATGCTTGTTGTTCTTCAAACCCTTTTTGTTCGCTTTGCACAGCTCATCTCCGTCATCAGCCTGCTGTCGGCCGACGTGCCCAACACCGACTCGCCAGCGAACATTGATGCCGCCAAGCAGGTCCGAGAGGACCTCACAGGCTACAAGAAGAAGGTACGTTCCATCGGGCCGCTCTTGGTACCGCATTCATCAATCAATTTTTCGTCACAATGTTTGCTGACACTTTGCTCTCGGTCGTGACGGTATCTCTCCGACGACAGGTCCGAAGGCTGGTAAGGCAGTCGGCAGAGGAAGCATTCGACTAGAGCCCCAGTCGGTCGCGCACGGTCTTGCGCTGCCTCGATTCAAGTGCCTCGATTCAAGTCGCATAGACCAGGTTCAACGCACTACGGGCCGCCCCAGTGCATTCATCGTCCGTCCCATGTACCATCAGCATCTCCCCACCTCGAATCTTGGCTCAGCCTGATCCTTCCATGTTTCGCATCGTCTCGGCACCATTGAGCCCTAAGTTCAGCGTCACAAAGTGAGATCAGTCGAAGCAAAAATGAACGTGCGTATTGGTACAGACTAGTGATACAAGAGACGTTTGCTGAGGCGCAGAGAGCGGAGTGGAATGCGGGGATCTGGGCGAACGGCAGATCGGTCAGCGCTCGGTCGAAGTGCTTAGACTCGACTTGAACGGGCTGCCGAAGTTGGAGCCGTAACCGCCGGCCGCCGCGTACCCGCCCGACACCGAGCGCGGGATCGAGGAAGCGTCGTGGAAGCTTTGCACCGAGACGGGCCGCCCCTGCGTGTAGTGGACCATGCCGTTGGCATGCGACGAGCTCGACGAGAAGCCATACAGGCATCCGAGGTACTTGGAATCGTCAATCGATCCGTCAAAGTACTTTTGGCGCATCTTGAAGAACGTCGTTGCCGTGAGCAGGCTGTCGCTACCCGCCTGGTGCTGTTGCCCGATGCGACTCACTTGCAGGTCGTCGGCGACATCCTGCAGGCCGCCCTTGAGCGTCTTGCAGCTTCGCATGAGGAACTTGATGTCGTAGATGCATGGAAACCACACGCGCAGCAGCGCAAAGAAGTCGGCCTCCTGCGCCGGCAGAGGACTGCACGTCACCACCTTGAGCAGGTAGCCAAAGTCGTAGCCACTGTGGAACGACACCCACTTGACATCGTCAAACAGCGCAAGCCCTGATGTGATGAGCAGCTCGCCAAAGTGCTCCACATCGATGCCCATCCGCTCGTGTCGGTCAAAGTCGAGTCCGGCCTTGGTCAGAAGATCCAGCGAGTCAGGAGCGCACATGTCGTCGCTGTTGTGAGCGCCAAAGTTGGGTTGGTCAGAGGTAGGAGCCCGCATGATAGGTCAGTAACAATGCCATGTGAAGCTTGGCAGTGGGAATCAAGGGGCGACGTACTTGATGCTGAATCGGAAGTTGAACTGCCATGTGCAGACGTCGGGTGGCAGGTTGCCGTTCTCGTCGCAGAGGGTGATGCCTAGTTGGATGAGCTTGAGGAGGTCCACGTTACAGCGCAGCGTCTGGTAGTGGTAATCTGACGAGCCCTTGAATGTGCCTATTGGCCGCGCAACGATGCCGGGGAACTCGGTGTCCTATGGTTTGCGAAAGCAGAGACGCATGAGCGCAGCAGTATGCAACAGCGCGTCAGCAGTCATGTCCAGTGCCACCTTCCGAGACAGATCGGGATGGAGCTTACCATGGCAACATATGGGTACTTGTCGATCGTCTCGCGCAGCAGAGCCATCTCGATCTCCAGGTTCTCCGCCCATACTTCTCGTATTCTTCCCGCCATCGTCGGCAGTATGTCAGGTGCGCAGCACGGGCACGCGGAAGGGAAAGTGCAAAAGGGTGTCTCCTGCTAGGACGATGAGCGTTTCGCTAGCGGTATGGTTGGGGAGGCTTCCGATGAAGCTGAAAGATTGTGCAGGTAGGCGGCGGAAAGACGTCGATGCAGCAGGGCGATTGAGCGAGCGTGGGTTGAGAGCGGCGAAGGAGCCTCTCAGGCGGGTCGATGTCGTCGGTGCTGCCGATGCGATGCTGCGAGATTGATGTGCATGCGTAGTCAGGATGATGGCTGCGAGTGGGGGAGCGAATGCCTGCAGGGCCGCCAGTCAGCCAACCAGCGTGCTAACAGGCGCGGTGATCGACCCGCGCCGCGCCCAGCTTTACCTGGGCCTCGGTGCCAAGTCCGTCTCCCGAAAATCGCAGCGCTGGGGCGTGTGCCGTGGTGGCGGTTGAGTGCGCTCGGGCGCCGCACTCGATTCGGCGCGTCGCAGCTCCACTTTCAATTCTGGCAGGAGGAACACGCAAGCGCTCCGACACCGACCTCGAGATTCCACTGGGCCGCATCAAAGCTCTTGCATCGAGACTCTTCCAACCAACACTTGCACACCATCGGCGCATCCTTCGTACCAGCAGACACTTCGCTACCGTCTCGCTACTGAGCCACTGCGAAGATACAGCAACTCTGCGCTCCGAGCCGTCACGCATCTTCCCACAGCTCCATCGGCAACACGCCGCACTCTCTGTCATCAGCCTCGATCTCGCCAAAAGTTGAAATCTAGCCGGCCAGTCCTTCCGCCAGCCGTGCTCCAGCCGTCAAGATGGTTCTCGAAGCGACTATGCTGGTGCTCGACAACTCCGAGTGGATGCGCAACGGAGACTACACGCCGACGCGCTGGGAAGCCCAGGCGGATGCCGTCAGCATGATCTTTGATGCCAAGACCAGCTCGAATCCCGAGAGCGAGGTCGGCGTCATGACCATGGCCGGCAAGAGCCCCGAGGTGCTCGTCACGCTCACACAGGACATTGGCAAGATCCTTGGTGCTCTGCATCGCTCCAAGATCGTCGGCAACGCCGATCTGGCTACCGGCATCAATGTCGCCTCGCTTGCGCTCAAGCACCGCCAGAACAAGAACCAGAGGCAGCGAGTGATCGTTTTTGTCGGATCGCCCGTCGCGCAGTCGGAAGGTGACCTGGTCCAGCTCGGAAAGAAGCTCAAGAAGAACAACATCGCCGTCGACATTGTCAACTTTGGCGAAGACGCAGAGAACGAGGACAAGCTTGCCAAGTTCATCGAGGCGGTCAACAGTGGCGAGAACAGGTAAGTGACCCCATCCGCTGTCGAGAAGACTTTTTGAGATCCGAGTCTGACCCTGTACATTTGATTCTCGTTCGCCTTGCAGTCACCTGCTCAACATCCCCGCTGGTCCTCAACTTCTTTCGGATATCATTCTCACCTCGCCTGTCCTGCAAGAGGAGGGTGGTGACTCAGGCGCCGGCCCTTCCGGCAGCGGCGGCGGATCCAACCAATTCGAATTCGGCGTCGACCCAAGTATGGACCCCGAACTGGCCATGGCGCTGCGACTTTCGCTTGAGGAAGAACAGGCGAGGCAGCGAGCAGCTGAGGGCACCTCCGGCTCGCAAGCGCCGTCGCTTCCCACAGTCTCTGAAGGCACCGAAACCAGCGCGCCGGCTGCAGCAGCCGCTGCGGGCTTGGCTGGGACCGGCTCTATGGTGCCAAGAGGCGCCGAGTCCATCACCGGCGAGGGTCACAACGCAGACGACGAGTCGGAAGAAGCCATGCTGCAGAAAGCCATTGCTCTGTCGCAGGGTGGCGGCTCCGCCACCAACGACGAGGATGTCGACATGGCTTCCGCCGAGCCTTCCGCAGGTCGCCGCGCCATCGTCGCGGGTCAAGGCGAAGGCGAGGAGGACGAGGAGATGGACGAAGACGAGGCGATTGCAAGAGCGATCCAGATGAGCTTGCAGGAAGGCGATGGCCAGCAAGACAGCAAGTAGGGTGCAACAACGATTTCCCCGGATCATGGCAGGAACTCTTCTTCTCTAGCTTACCGTCCAGATCGAATTGCCCCCTGACCCCATGTCCTCACATACCGTAGTTCAACCTCTCTCGCGCAGAATGTGACGTTACGTTTTCAGCTATTTCTCTCGAGATCGGCGCTCAGACGCGTGTTGACGGGGCCGCGTGTTCTTCATTTGGTTCGAAAGCAAACGTCGTTGCGAGGCGGCCAGCTAGCAAGCTACCGAGGCTGGTCAAGCGCTAGCCGCCCTCCGGCGTTTTGGTCGCCTTTTGGTGGACAGATCGAGCCGAGCCGATAGTGCGTGCACGCGCCCTGACCACGGCGCAGAGTCGCATTGCACTGTCTGCAAAGGCGCTCCGACCTTCGAATGAGGGGACTCCGGCGAATTAGACAAAGGAAGGGCACAGACGGCAGAAGTGTGTGCCAATTTGCTGCCGTTGGTCACAAGCTGCAGGCAAGCTCATGAAACCCAACATCCCTGGTTCCTCGACCTTGGCGCCGCCATTGCTCGATTGTTTATCTCACGAGCATCTGGCTCGAACGAAAGGTTGGCGTGAGAAAGCAGGGCAGCGCGCGGGAGCGGTGAGTTTGCTCCGTCGGTTCACATCCGAAGCTGGCCGGAGCTTTTGGGCGCCTGACGAAGGCCCCCTCTTTTTGTTTTTGGACAGATAGAGTTCGTGAGAGACTGAGCCTCTTTTCTTCTTGGCCATTCCATATTGAATCCTATGTTGTTCGGGATAGCCGCAACATCGACGGTGCGGCACGCCAGCTGGCTAGGTCGGAAGAAGCTCGGGGCAATGCACCGTGCGCCCCGCGTGCTTCTGGCCTTGGAGACCCTCGACAATGTCACAACCGCCGCGTCTCGTTCAGATCACCTGTCGGCCAGCTGCAGCAAGGCAAACCTTGTTGGCTTGGCCAACCCGCTGTCTGTGTCGGAGGGCCTCGTTCGGCCCCTCTCAAGGGGACATGCAGTGTGATGCGCAGCGAGAGGCTTGAGCAGATGCATTTGGGCGGAGACCCACCTGACAGAGTCCGTTTCATTTAAATGAGGCGGCTCCTCGAGCCTCCTCGTCCCAAGAGCCCCCTCGGTTCACCTGGCCTGGATGGAGCTTCTTCGTCTCGACTTGGTCACTTCATAAGCTCGCAACATCCCTCCGTCTCTCTGTTGCATCAGTCCCTCCCTCCCTCACCGCTGCTCCAATCCACCACCAAAGTGCATTGCCCCGTGCGGGCCTGGTCGATTCTGGTCCCGGGTCGTCCCCACACTTTCTTTGTTCTGCTCCGAAACCCATTGCTCCTTCTCATTCTTCTCTCTCAAGTCCTTGTACCGTCATGACCACCAAGACCCAAGGGCCAAGGCATTCCCTCCCCCCAAAGGTGAGGAGAGACCCGTCACCATATTTTGACTAGCTGCAGCGCGCAGGTGTGCAGATCACCGGGCGCACAGATGTGAAGCCAAGGAGAGGAGCTGACACTGCATCTTATATCCCACTGATTGCCTCCGTGATCCGCCATCCAGCCCATGGTATCGCCCTCGCCGCCCACCTGTGACACCATCAGCGGGCTCTATGCGGACCAGATGGCGGCTGCTACTCGAGATCGCTGTTATATCGACTCGACTCCCGCCGCGCTGCAGGCTGTTCCGATGAGAAAGAGGAGCGCAAATGAGTGGGCTTCCACACCACCCTTTCCAACACCGGCGCTCACCACAAGCTCTCTGTCGTCGTCTTCCTTGTTCGGAGAGCATTCGCCGGTGCTTGATGTCGCATTCGGCGGGCAGCTGATGCAGAGGTGCAACGATCTTGCGAGCCCGCCTGGCATGCAGGCCTCGAGAAGCTTCGACGAGAGACCTTCATACGCTCCACCTATGAAGCAGCCGAGTGGTAGCTTCGACCCGAACGCGCCCAGTGTTCACCACGGAGACGTCATTCATCTCGCCAGGTCATTTGCTGGGCTCAACATGTCTGATCGGCAGAGATATCCGGACTACTCGCAGACGCCTTCGTTCGTCGAGCCTCAGCCTCCTGCTCCTCTGCTCATTCCGATGCAGCCAACTGGCGCTGGAGTGCCCCTCACTTCCGTGGTGGAGACGCTCGCTTCAAAGGGATCAAAGGCTGCAGCCGAAGATCCAGAGACGGTGGCGGCAGCTTACAAACTCAGCCAGTGGGGAATCGGGTAAGTCGACACGCGTCTATGGGGGCGCCAAAAGCTCAGATCGTTTTCTTGTGCTGACATGCTCTTGTCTTCCTCATCCTATCTTGACGTCGACTTGCATCTCAGAATCGGTCCGGGCATCAATCCTAAAGTGGCATCAAGTCGCGGCGGTAATAGCGGTAGGGGCCGCATGCCTGCAAGCGAACCACCAATCGTCAATACGGGAAACTCGGGCCCCATGTGCGTCCAGCCCGGAGACTGGATCTGCACCAGCTGCGGTTTTGTGGTAAGTACGATGCCTTACTCCCTTGGCTTGCCGAGCTGCGTAGCTCTTTCCAAGATTGGCGTTGGCTGGTCTTGCAAAGATCTAGATTTCTGACTCAATCTTTCGATTGTCTTTGGCATCGGTGTGCGCACTCACAGAACTGGCGCCGCCGCGAGGTATGCATGCGCTGTTTCCCTCATGCGGACGGCAACGAAATTGGTCGTGGCATCCAGGGAGGCGAGATGCTAGCCAAAAGGCTCGCCGCTGGCCTGGACCCGGACACGGAGGAATACAGGCAGTCTGTGCAAGCCCTGTGCCCCGACAAGGTCAAGCGGGGCATGGACACCCAGCCTCAAAGGCAAATGCCATACAATGTAGCCCGTACCACACTCGCCACTGGACTGGGTGGGGACCTTTCGTCCTATCGGCCATCTACTCAGTCGTTCGCGCAAGACGTGGGTGCCGACGCTTCCAACTATCTCGGCATCCATCTAGGTCCTCAATCCCAACACGACTGGCGACAACCGATCAACTATCCTGGTCGTCACGTCGAGCTTCGATCTGCGGACTATTACAGCCAGCTACGCGGTATGCCTGCGTCGTATGACGTTCAAGCTGCGTCCCAATCAAGCTGCACGATGCCTGATGTCAACAGAGCCGGAGACGGTCCCTACAAACCGTACTGGCCGGACATCGGCGTTGGCAATGGCTCGCGCACGATGTCCTCGACCTCAAGCTTTGCAGCGCTTCCCGAGAAGACTTTTGGACCGACTTCGCCGCGTTCGTCGCATTCGCAAGAGCGCTCGTCTGCGCGAGCCACGCTCGTTCGTGCTTCGACGATGCCTGATTGGCAAGAGCCGATGGACCAGGAACGCTATCCGACGCCGGCTCAGCAAAGGCGCAGTCCGCACGGCTTGACCGCCATGACGTGGGCTCAGGCCTCTCCCGAATCGACACCGCCACTGCCCAAGGAAATTTGGGCGCCTGCTCCGAAGCGACCGACGCTGGTGCCCATGGAGCCCGAGGACATGGCTCGCGAGAAGCGCGCCAAGCCGCAGCCGATCGGAACGCGCTCAGCACAGCGCGCCACCAGCACGCCGAGGGAGGATGGCTCCAGCGCGCCTGGAAGCCATGCATCTTTGGAAACCGCTTGAAGGAAGGACCTCTGCAGGAAGACAAAAAACACACTCGCTCTGCTTACTTTTCGACCGCTGTTGACCGGACCTCTCGCTTTTCGGACGTATGATTCCGAGCTTCCGCCTCGCACTCGAGGTGATGCCTCTGCCGGGCTGCGCCCTGCTGCTCCCGTGCGCCCGGCTCCTACTCTCCCTCGCTCTACGCACTTGCTCGCTCCATGCGAGGCATGGTGCTGCACCGCCACCTTGTCGCTCGGTTTCGCATGTTTTCTGGTGTCACTTTCTCCGCTCGCTCGTCGTGCCGCCACACTCTCTAATGGACACAGTCGCTTCTCTGCCTGCCTCTCGGTGTGACGGACGATACGCTTGGTACTGCGACACACGGCACTCACCGCGCTCGCGCCGGTCTGGAAAGGACAGTTTACTGACACGCGGTGCGTGCGAATGCGATGTAGAAATACAAGGAGAGACTGGTACCACGGGCGATGAAGGGAAGGGGGGGAAAGATCTGGCCTAGGCGGTGGGATTGGCGGTGACGAGGAGCTCGACGTGGCCTGTTCGGCGCGCGCCCTCAAAGGCCATCTGGACATCGTCGTCGTCGGACATGAGCACGCTGTCGCCGTCCTCGTCGATGTAGCGCATGCGCAGCGGCAGCTCGATGGGGCGGCCGGAGCATACGCGTACCTTCTTGGCCACCTTGTCGGCGAGCGCGCCAAAGCCGATGGTGGTGAGCACGACGACGACAAACTTGTCGTCGCCAAAGTTGACAATGAGCTTGACCGCGTTCGAGTTGGACGTGGTCATCGGCGGTGCTGATGCGGGGGGTGCGGGGGGTGCCGCCGCGCGCGCGCCGTTGGCAGACAGATTGCTCGTGCGCAGCATGGCCGAGGATGCACTGGAGCCGGTCGAGTTGGTCACGTTGACGGGCGACGATGCGGCCGTCGACGACTGCGGCCTCGAACCCGACTGGCCGGACTCGGACGTTGCGATTGACGAGCTCGAGAATCGCTTATCCACGCCGCCCGCGCTCGCCGGAACAGCGGCGGGCGCACCCGCAGCCGCAGCGGGCGCGCCGCTGCCGCCGAGCGACGCCGAGCTGGCGTTGGCGCTCTTGAGGTGGTCGGCCAGGCCGGCGCCGTACGGCACCTTGGGCATGGGTGGTGGCGGACCCTGCATGTGCGGCGGCAGCGCGTACATCTGCGGATTCGACGCGGATCTCGAACGGCTGTGCACCGCGCCCGAGTCGGAGGTGGTGCGCGACATGTTGGACGCAACCGAGTCGCCGCGCGGCCTGCCGTACTTGAAGTCGCTCGACGCCGAGTCCGACGAGCCGTCGAGGTACTCGACCGCGCCGCCGTCGACGCCGGCAGCGCGCGGCGTGCGCGCATAGCCCGCCTGCACGCCGTTGGCCTGGCGCAGCTGCCGCGACGAGCTAGCCTTGCGCAGCGCGTGCTGGTGCTGGTCGGCGCCCGACGAGTAGCTCAGGCCGCGCGGCATGGGCGGCGGCACCGCGGGCGAGTGCGACCTCCACTGTGCCATGACGCTCGAGTCCTGGTCCTCGGTGCGTGCGCGCGGCCGGAGATCGGTCGAAGAGGCAAGCGAGTTCTGGCGCTCTCTCGCCTCGGAGCCGGTCTGCGAGTAGCGCCCTTGCGCGGGCGTTGCACGGCCCGAATTCGACTCGTAGTAGCTCTGCTGACCCTCGGAATCCTCGTCGTCGTAGCGGTAGGAGCTGGCCTGGCTCTGCGTCCGCGACAGCCCCGAGGGTGGCAAGGCGGAAAAGGGATTGACGGGCGCCATCTCGGAGAGCGGCGTCTGTGGGAAGTGCGAGGTGGTCTGGGTGATGCGTCTGCCGAGCGCGCCGGCGCCGGCCATGTTGATGCTCTGCTGCTGCTGCGAGTAGTGCTGTGCGGCGGCCTGCTGACGGCGCATGTTGACCTCGTCGATGAGCTTGTTGATGGCCGTCTGCCACAGCTTGAGCTGCTCCTCGTTCTTGCACTTGAGCGCAAACGACTCGTGGTCGACGTCGCCGCGCCACCACACCTGCAGCGCATGCTGTCCACTCGGCGCGCCGAGGATGCTGCTCATCTTGGAGTTGGCAAAGGCGCCGGTGACGTTGTTGATGAAGATGCGACCTTTGAGCTGGAGCGTGGTCTTTGCCTTCTTGCCGCCTGCTGCGGCTCCAGCGGCGCTGCCACCCTTCTGTTTGAGGAGCGAGTTGTTCTTTGCGCCCTTCTTCTGTGCGGCGGGCGCGATCTCCTTGCAGCAGAGCAGGATCTTTTCAAAGAGATAGACGTGATACTCGCGCTCGGTGTCGCTCTTTGCGACCAGGAAGACGTCCGAGAGCAGGAGCAGGCCAAAGGTCTTGATGTTGTGGCCCTTCCAATCCTCGACGCGCCATTCGAGCTCCTTGACGAGCTGTGCATTCTCCTGGAGGCGGCTGGTCTCGTTGACCTTGTCGGTGATCCTGCGCATGACCTCGAGGCCGTCCTGGAGCTCCTGGTAGCGCGGCGCGTCCTCCTGGGTCTTTTTGAGGAGCTGCTCGAGGAGGAGCGGGTACTTGCAGATGCGCTGTACGGGCTTGATCATGAAGGTGGGCAGCTCGTAGGCGGGGTCGAGGTAGCAGCCGTGTGCGGCGGGCATGCCCTTGAGGCGGACGAGGTTGTGCGCCTCCTGGTTGATGAGGTCGAGGGCGAGGTTGTAGTTTGCGCAAAAGGGTTCGTAGACGGCAAAGTCGTCCTCCATGGTCATGAAGACGTGGCCAAAGTGCTGCTCGTCGGGCGTGCGGCGCACGTTCTCCTCGACGCAGATGAGGAAGCGGCGCTGTACGTCGACGAGCTTGTTGAGGTTGCCAAAGAGGTTGTGGAGGGTGTCTGGGGGCAGGATGTCGTACTGTGCGAGGGCGCGTGCGTAGTTCTGGAGCACCTCGAGGTCCTGGACGTACTTGCGCTCTGTGGTGAGGAGCTCGCGGATGACCTTGGCGCGGTCGTCGGAGGGATGGTCGATGTCGTCGTTGTCCGACTTGCGGTTGGTCTCGATGAGGAGGCCGCGCTCTTGGAGGACGTCGAGGAGCCTGTTGATGGTGCGGACGACCTTGACGAAGCCATTGGTGTCGTTGAGGTAGAGCTGGGATACGGTGAAGATGTCGTCCGGGTCCCAGCCGAGCTTCTCTTTGAGTGCGATGATGAACTTCATGACCTGGGCCTTGCAGGCGTTGGCGTTGGAGCGATTTGCGTCTGGGTTGACGGGGAGCTCTACGTCTGGATTCAAGGTGTTGAAGAGGGCGCAGAGGGGCGATCCGAGGCGGAAGCACTGCCAGAGCTGCGTGACGGGGTCGCTGCTGGACTTGCGGATGGGCGCGGCATCGGGCGAGGTGGGGCTGCTGGCCGAGACGGTGGGCGAGAGTGGATCGGAGGGGGTGGAGGGGGATGTGAGGGAGGGGGCGCTGATTTCGTCGAGGTAGGCCTCGCCGAAGCCGGGGACGCAGTAGAGGCGGTCGCGGAGGTTGAGGCAGGCCTGGTAGAGGGAGGAGCCTGCGACGGCCTGCTTGTTGGCGATGGTGTTGGCGGCTGCGGGAGCGCCTGCCATGAGAGCTGCGCCGCCGGGCCCGATGAGGGAGGATCCGATGCCTCCATCTGCGGAGGAGCTGGCGACGGATGATGCGGCCGAGGCGTTTGTGCCTGGCAAGGGCGAGGGCGAGAGCGGCATGGATGCGGCGGATATTGAGGAGGGGTCGAATGCAGGCGAGGAAGCGGTGGAGATGGACTGTTTGCGTACGGATCGGAACGCAAGTGATGCGGACGCGGCCATGGTGGACGTTGGTCGACGATGTTCAGCGCGACCGAGAGTCTGTGCCGGAAAGCGCCCGAACGAGTGGAAGCGGGTTGTCGCTCAGCGGCGACGTGTCGATGGGTGGAAGTTGGGTTGAAAGCGCTGGTTGCAAGAGGACCGAGTGACGAAGATCAGCTCGGATGGACGAGATGGATGCAGAACACGAGACGGGATCACGGGTCGAAGCGAGGGCGGATGGACGGAGAAGGCACGTCCGGGAGTGCATAAGTCGATGCGAAGAGCGGGCGCGACGAAAGGGCTGACAAGGGAGACGGATGGGGTGCAAGTTGTAGCAGAGATAGGGTGGTGCAACGACGCGCAGCGCAGGACCAGGAAGAGGAGACCGGGGACGAAATATGGAGCGTTGGTGGACGAGAAGCTTGCTAGTGCGACAGCATGGGGCGAGGCAGAACAGGCGTGTTGCAGGGGATGGTCGCGTGTGTGCAGGCGGGGCGGTGGTGGTGGTGGTGGTGATGGTGGTGAT